ACTCCTCTCATAAATGCCTCCAAAGACTTTCTAGGTCCAACGACACTTTGACTCTTCAAAACTTCTAACTTTGGTGATCACTCCTTTATTTTTGTGCTATCTCATTCTGATTTTCCTTCTAAACTTCCTCGTCACTCCTTTCTAATCTCCTTTGTGGGTTTTTCTTCCTCCACCAGGCTTTCTGTTTTTTTAAAGATTTATTTTATTTATTTGAGAGGGAGAGAGCAAGCGAGCACATGCACAAGCAGGGGGAGGGGCAGAGGAAGAGAATCTCAAGCCGACTCACTGCTGAGCACAGGGCCCAATGTGGGGCTGGATCTCATGACCCTGAGATCATATCCTGAGATGAAATAGAGTCAGATGCTTAATGGACTGAGCCACCCAGGCCTCCTTTTTTAAAGAAAAGATTTATTTATTTGAGAGAGAGAGAGAGAGAGACAGAATGCGTGTCTTCCTCCACCAGCCTTTCACGTTTTGGTGTTTCTGGGCTCCATATTTAGCTATTTTCCCTTTTTACTCAAATTATCTTCTTAGCCAATGATATCATGCCTAAAGATTTCAGCTTTCACACACACACACACACACACACACACACACACACACACACACAATTAATTCTCAAATCTGTATTTCTACCTCAGGTCTCTCTTCTGAAGAAATAGCCCTTTACATCCAACTGTTGTGAGATCTCTCTACTAAATATCCCACAGCGCCCCCCTCAGCAAACTTACTTCCCACCCGGCCCTCATTATCTGCAAGAAGTGGCCATATCCTGTTACTTGATAACTAACTTTCCTCTATCTGCTAGCCTAAGAAAAACTTTCTTTGAACGCTCCTACACTTTTTATATCTTTCCCTTATTTTTTTCCCTTAACAATTTTATTTCTGGATTAAATAGGCAGTTTTTATTTGGTCTTTATTTGGTCACTATTTGGTCTTTATTTGGTCACTATTCAGTCACTTCTTAATCTCCGACATTCTAATTATTCATTCCTTTAGCAAAACTGCCCTCTCTGTAGCAATGATGTTGTCTATCATTTTATAGTATTTTTTATCCTATTTTGAGTGATTTTAAATTTTTGTACTAACCTGATTTGCCTTATACTACTCTGTCTGCTCAGTCTCTATTTACACTGATACTCCCTAGACATGCACTGCCACCTAAATAATGGAATTTTCCAAGCACGTGGATAAAGGGAGAGGGAGAGAGGGAAGGAATAAGATGAGGGGTGGATGGAGGTGGGGTGAGAAAGAGACAGGAGACTCATCCAGGGACAAATAACTACCCAGGGTTCAATAATTCAACTTATTCTGATGACACCCTCTCCCAGCATGCAGGTAAATTTTTCAAATAACTATACATAGAAATGAAGAAGTTATAACTGAGAAATACTGAGCACATTTTTATGTGTTCACAAAACTACTCTGCCTCTTGAGCTCCCTCTTGCTTTTCTTCTCAATCATCAAGAAATAAAACTGGAATTGTTTTTTAATTCCCTTTAGTCAGCAACTTCCAATAAAATGTTGTTATATAACCTCCCCCACTGAGCAGTTTCTCACGTCAGTTCCACACTTCCTTTCCTTTGCTATTGTGACAACACTATTAAATATCCTCATGATCTTGCAGACTCCTGTAATCGCCTTCTTTAATTTCCCTCCTGCCTTTCATCTCTCTCTGCTTGAATCAATCCTAAATATTACTCGTGTCATGTCATTCAGCCTGCTCAAATTTCTTCATTTTCTTTATGCTGTCTTTAGAAGTAACTATAAAATGCCACTGTCTAAGCATTAAAATCCTATGCCAATTTGCCCCAGTTTTATCTTCTGATGTTCCCCCAACCCGACTAATGTCCGCAAACCTATCCCGTATGTGCCTGCCTCTGTGTTTTTTAAACTAAGTATTTTCCTTACCTATAATAATGTGTAACTTCTCATTCTCTCATATAAAATGTTATCAAGCCTCCACATGGAGATTTGGGAATAAATATTTCAATATTCTTATTATCCTATTATCCACGATTTCCTTTCATGACACATGCAGATTTTTTTTCCAAAATGCATTTTCAATCCTATTGATACTTAGATAATTACATGAGAAAAATTTTCAATATCATGTATGAAGATGAATTACACATAGTTCCACTTCTATGAATGACAATCAGCTTGTCTGGACTCTCACACAGGTAATGATGATAAACTAGTAATTTCTTAAAAAATTATTTAAAAAAAATGGAGATCAGTTCAGAGCAAAGACTAGAGAGTTTTTCACTCAAGGAAATCCCCTAACCCATATGGTGAGGAATGGCTAGAACTCAAGCAGAAAACTATAGACTTACTAGCTTGGAAAGTCAGAGATCAGAGACTTAAAAGTACCAGGGCAGCTGAAATGCTAGAGGAGATACCCAGAAACGGAGGGAGGCACCCTCAACTGCATGTATACATTCTTTCCCAAATCCTTGGCTGACACCTGACCGCATGTGCAAGCAGAGCATAAAAAGCACTGTCTGGAAAGTTGAAAGAGGTTTTTGGCTGCCGCCCATCACAAGAGATTTTTGAGTCCAGACAAGTAAGCTGCTTGCTAGAATAAAAATCAACTCTCTTTAAAAGATAATCAAGTCCACAGTCTTGAAAACATATGATCCATAATGTCTGGTACACAATAAAAATTACTAGACATGCGAAGAAATAAGAAAATATGATCTATAGTCAAGAGGGAAAAGCAATCGTGTAAACTTACCTTAAGTTGACCCAGATGTTAAAACTAGCAAATAGGGATTTTAAAACAGCTCTTAAAAATATGTTCAAGGGCTTAAAGAAAAATATAGTCACGATGAATTAAAAATATGGGGACATGCTCATTAAAGAAATGAAATATAAATAAGATGGAAGTTTTAGCCCTGCAAAGTACATTATCTGTATTGACCATTACTGGGGTGGGCTTAACAGCATACTAGAGATGTCAGAGGAAAGGATTAATAAACTTGAAAATAAATGGGTAGAACTTATCCAATTTGAAAAGCAGAGAAAACAAAGACTGAATAAAAATGAGCAAAATCTCAGTGATTTGTGGCATAATGTCATACACACACTAGCTCATGCATATGCGCATGTGCACACACCAACTCTCAAAGAGAGGAGAGCATGAAACAATATTATCTGAAATAATGGCCAAAAATTTGCCAAATTTGATGCAAAACATAAGCTTTTATATCTAAAAGTCTCAGTATTTCAAGAAATATAAATATCATTCTTCCACCACCTCCACCACACACAACTGGCAAACTATGGAAAAAATGCTGAAAGCAAACATGAAGAGAAAATCTTGAAAGATAAAGCGATTCCAAACAGGGTAATATCAATATGTAAGAAACTGAATATATGTCAGAAAGTGATTAGAAGACAATAAAGTATTTTTGAAATGCTGAAAGAAAACAAAACAAAAAAACCTGTGAACCCCAAATTTTATATCCAGGGACAATACCCTCAGAAATAAAAATGAAATCAAGGCATTTTCAGATAAATGAAAACTGAGAGGATTTGTTGCCAATAGATCTGCACCACAAAATGTATATATTCTGGCTTCCCATATAGGTATACATGTCTGTCTGTATACTTCGCTACATGTAAATATTCTGACCTTGCTCTGGGCTGATTTGCCTTACACATCTCTTTTTAAAGTTCTTCCAGTAGATCAACTGTAGTGATCCTTTAAAATAATTCAGTGAGTACACTCGATGTGTTTGTGTATGCTCCTTAGCTTTAATCTACAAGTAGAGATGGTTAGTTAACATTTAAAATATGCTAATCAAAAATCCTGCCTATAAGGACACTTAGCAGCTGAAGTACCTCAATCAGGGGCGCTCTCAAGAGGCAGCTAAACTAAGCCCTTCAGGTATTATTAATTATATGCACACCTGAGTGTTAACTAGTATAAGGGATATCAAACATGATTTTTCACCAGTGAAATGAATGTTATTCTTTATATGTGGTGGCTGAAAATATTTTAGGGTCACTGCTGCGCTTTCATAAACAGAGTATAAGAATCAAGAGACTGTAGCTGTTTCACTACAGAATATCTAGAAGTCTGTTTTTTTTTTTTAAGATTTTATTTATTTGAGAGAGCAAGAGAGAGCACAGGATGGGGCAGGGAGGGGAGGTCAGAGGGAGAAGCAGACTCCAGTGGAGCAGGGAGCCTGATGTGGGGCTGGATCCCAGGACCCTGAGATCAAGACCTGAGCCGAAGGCAGACGCTTAACCGACTGAGCCACCCAAGCACCCCTAGATGTTTGTTTTATCTGTATCCCATCTTCCTGTAGGATTCTGCCTTCTGACATAAAAAAAGGTAGCAGATAATATTTTTTTAATTGATCTTCAAGCCTGCATTTTAGTCAGTGTTTTATATGTGACAGAATCCAGTTGAGATTTGCTCTCTTCTCTTCGAGATCTGTTTTCTTTATGCTGATCACCTAGTAGTGGCGTCTAGGACATATAGCTCTCACCTACTAATATTTAACTTCAGTCAGTTTGTTATCCACCCCACCCCCCAACTCCAGCTCCCTCACCTCACCTGTCTAAAAAAAGAGTAGTTACAAAATCAATAAGTCTTTGCATAACCTCTGTAAAATACTATATGTAGTAATATTGCTTATATAAATTTATTTCTAAATATATATGTACATTGTAGTTCAGTGGTTACATTAATAAAATTTATGTAAGAACACAAGAGAGAACATAGTTTGATATGAAGAAATATTTTTAAGTGCACAATTAAGTGAATGAAGCTGTTCAGAGAATGAATACATAAAGAATTGAATGATTCAGAGGTTTTATAGCTGACAAGGATTTTAAAGGTCTGGAGAAATCATTTCTCTGACTTGGGAAAACTTCATCAGTATATCACAAATGCTCTTCTTTTTCACCAAAGAAAATGCCACAACCTTTCTTTAAAAAAAAAGTTCTTTTAAGCATGACTTTTATTGACAGGAATGAAATTATCTTACTTCCAAATGGTATCCAACCCTGATGAAGGCACAAAGTGGGTCAAAAGCTCCAGTACCACAGGTCAGAAGGTGTGTCCTATTATAGTGATGCAAAACGCGAACATAATTTGCACATTCACTCTAAAGCAGAAAAACAGAAAGAAGAAATTGGTTAATGTATAAAAAAAAAAGGTTTAGCCCTTTTTTTGATTTCTGTTTTCCCTAACCCCACAAATCTCATGTTCAAGTCTCTCTTGGCTAGAGGAGGCAAGAAACAGTGGAAGAATAGACTGGTTGACCGATGTACATTTTAGCCTCACCACATGAATTACACTTATAATGGGATTGTATCATTTTTCAGGTATTCTAGCACATAACCGGGGAGTAAAAAAAAGTACTGTTCAGAAATTTATTCAAAGATTTGCATGGCGATATGCATGTTCCACTAAGTAAGTTATTCCCAATGCTGTTATTTTTTTTCAAGTGCGTATAAACAAATGAATCATACAAAGTCAGAAAATCAATAATTAGAGAAGGCTTCGCTACCCTTAAAGAAACATATGTAGACTTTAAGGCATTACAGAGTTTTGATGTTTGGAAAAATAAGTCCTATCTTCAAATCCATAAATTCATGCAAAGCACTTTCATAGAGAATTTTCAAATAAATTCATAGAAAGCTAACCAAGAGAAATAACATTTTACACCTATTACTATAAGACTGCTGTGTAGGAATCAGCAAAATTTTTTTTATGAAGGACCAGGGAGTAATATATTTAGTTCGAACGGCCAACTGGTCTCTGTCTCAACGACTTGCCTCTGTGAATATGGCATGAAAGCAGCCATAGACAATCCAAAAATGAATGTGTGCAGCTAGCTTCCAATAAAACTTTATTTACAAAAACAGATGGCAGGCCACATTTGGCTGAGGAGCTCTAGTTTGCCTACATTGGGATTCAACTAGAACTTTTTTGAGGACAGAATATTTATTTTACACTTCTTCGTATTCCCTGGTTAATTAAACACAGTCCCAAATATATATTATATGCTTAACAAATCTTAACTATATAAATCACTAGGTGAGTTTTATGATCAATATGCTAAATGAAAAATGTTTAAAACTGCTCAAACCAACTTGTCTGAGTTAATTCTAGAAAACACCTTCCTGGTAAATTAGGTATTGCTGTTTCATTTAAAATAAATTACAAAATACTAAACTCTTTTAATGCTAAGTGTTACTCTGAAATCAATACATGCAGTAGGCAGTAAATATAATGTTTTATAAGGGCAGATTATGACTTTTAAAATCTCTCACAGAACAGTATTGGGTGAAAAAGCCACCAGAACCATCTGACCAGAAATGATTCAGATTATAGCATTCCCTTGTTCAGAATGAGCAATGTACTACTAACCTGATTATCCAGAGCACGTAGATAGATTTTCTTCAATTTCCCACTCACGTAGCATTTATTCTCAGGCTAACCCATACCACTGGAAAAACCTGATCATTCAGGCATGGGGAAAATATTCTATTCTCCTATCACTATAAGCACCTGCTTTCCATCTCATGAAACACTGTCACACCTAGAATGAGCGGATTAGACTACAATTTGGCTCTGTTGGGCTTAGGATGACATAGCCTAAGCATGTGTTTGATTAGTCAGCATCATGCTGTGGACTAAGGCAGCAAGACTCACTCCTTGGCTGTGACCCAGTTGCTACAGAGACTCAGAACTTGGTATAACATGTGTTAGTCTTTTACATGGTATTTTTTTCTCACTAAAAAAAGAAAAAAAAAAAGGATGAGTTAACTTTCAAAAGGAGATGTGCATGCCTTCCTCCAAAGCTGTGTCTTGTGTCATCAGAGCAACTCCTAGCACATAAAAGTCCCTTCGTGCATATTTTAGTGGGCTCGGAAATGGGTCAGAGCTGCCACTCCTATACAACCTCATGCACCGCGGGGAAGTTATGGAGACCGAAGATCGATTCTTCCAGAAGGAAAGACCCTAAACACATGGCGGGATAGGTAAAGCATGCTTATTGCCTTTGCCTTCTTTCTGTTTTTTTCTCCTTTTGTTTCTTCATTTGGTTCTACTTTACTAATCAAAAATGAAATCTCACAAAGAATACACTTAACTTTCCCTTGAATTAAAAATTTACCTGAAATTATTTTTTTAAATATGTAGGAAATAAGCATTAGTGGAAGAAATTCATAAATCTGAGTTGATAAATATGTAATAAAACCAAAACCAAGATCTAGAGGCACCTCAGCTCCCTTTACTCTAACTTCATATTGAAATCAGCTTATAAATAATGATCTCTATACAATGTTTATTTCTGTTTGGATATGTGTACATATATTTTTTTCTTCCTGAATGAACTGTATATATGCCTTTGGGAGCAAATAAGAGGTTAGGGAGTCAGTCCCCTGTGACTGACCAGGGATAGAATTGATGATGTGTTTAATTTACAAGGAGTAATACTTACCTCATCTTTTCCTTTCATTATGCATTCTTCTATTTTTAGTGCTGTACTAGGCCAGTGTATCTGAAATAAAAGATAATTTACTATTATGCAAGTGCAAATACAAAAATAAACCACACTGAAAAACCATTTTGCTGTGTTCCCAACATGTTTTCATTTTGTTCCATTTCCTGAGATGATAAATCGAGACTTTATCTTCTTTATATCATTATCTGCCTAATGAAGACACTTACATTTGAGCTTTTATTTCATGCAAAAACTTAGTTTTTTAAAAAAAAATCTTTCTGAACGCTCCCTCAAGACTCAGCCCTTCAGAGGTCACCCACGCTTCCAGCAGCCGTGGTCTGTGCTTAACCTGCCGTAACCTCCGCCATCCAGTCCTTCCCCTGAACCTGACCATCTTCCCGTCAGGCACCTCCCTGAGTTCCCTTTGCATTTTTACCACTTAGCCCAGAGTTTGGTGTGTGGGGACTCAGTTATGCTGGCTAAATGAGGGATTAAAGGATGTATGACTCCTATGTCCTGGAGGGACACCCAGACTGCCTCCAGATCTCCACCACATCAAACACAGTCCATCTCTGTACATGTCCCTCCGAGATCAGTAAAAGAGCATTATTGGTATGCATAATCAGTGGAGTGGGGTTGGTGTACATATAACCCAGGAGTAGAATTACTGGGTCTTAGGGTAAGTATATAATGAATCTGTTAACACAGTGCCAGAGTGCTCTCCAGAATGGCCACCCGTTCATACTCCACCAGCAATATCCCCGTATCTTCACTGATACTTGAATTAATCAGCTTTCTAATTTTTGCACTAAGCACCTCAGATTCAATACTCAATTAAACCCTTACCACAACTTTATCAAAGATATATTATTATCTAGGGAGCTCCTTTTAAAAACAAAAAAAAGTACATTTCTACGTCCAGCCCCAAAATGTGGTACATCAATGTAATCCATTTGAGCAAGTACAGCTAGTGTTAAGTTGCCCAAGACCTTAGGCCTCCATGTTAATAGTTTATCCCCACATCTGGTGGATCAATTACCCTCTCCCATCAGGCTGAAAAAGCTCAACTGGCCCCCTTTCTTGTGTCTCTCTCAGAATTCTGGAGCGCATCATCTCATGTTATTGTGTCATCTTCATGGTTTCCTACTGGTTGGGTGATAACAGATTCTGTTTGGAGGAATATTGGCTCTGACCAGAACACCCTGTAACTTTTTTTCATTGCTTTCACAAAGGATTTCACCTTAGATCCATATGCACTAGGGTACAGAACTCCTAAGATGTCGTCTCTTCCTCTCCTACCTCCATGACACTTTGAGCCAGGCTACATCAATACTTCTTTGGTTCTCTTCTTTTTAGGCAATCACCTTCTGTTCTCAAGCTAACATTTTGGTGAAGGAGTAGGATGGGCCTCTCAAGAGATTAATATTTCTACAAATAAACTTTTCCTCCTCAGGATGCTCAAAAGTCCCCAGGGAAAGGGTTTAGGTATAGCCTTCTACTACCCAGGGTCAGTGTTTACTGTCATTAGACTATTATTGTTCAGGCTTGGGTTAGTCAGCCAGACTCTTTTCCTATCCATGGCAGTCTGTCCCCTTAAAGCCCCTATTATCTCTCCCTGACTTCTCCCCTCCTTCTACCCACCACCATCCCATTCTGTGCTCTGCTAGCCTCAGAAACCATTCTGGGTATCAAACTAATATTAGATATTGCTGATAAGGAGGTATTTTTTTTTTTTTTTTTAGTGAGCACGCTCTTTCTTTTAATTAGTGGCCAACATTTACAAATGAGAACTTTTGCATAAAAATCAAGATTTCTGGTTTCTCTAAACGGCCCAGGCACACTCTGATTTGCTTCAGACTAATATTAGATATTGCTGATAAGGAGGTATTTTTTTTTTTTTTTTTTAGTGAGCACGCTCTTTCTTTTAATTAGTGGCCAACATTTACAAATGAGAACTTTTGCATAAAAATCAAGATTTCTGGTTTCTCTAAACGGCCCAGGCACACTCTGATTTGCTTCAGACTTTTCTTTTACCTGACTGACCTCTGCAGTCATTTTAGTTTTTGAAAACTGATATATTTATGTTTGAATCCCAAATATGGTCACGATTTAAACTTTTCTTTTTAAAAGCTGTGCCCCATAAAATAACATGCTAGGTATTTATATGCCAGAACTGAAAAAGGCTTATCACTAACCCACACATTATGTAGCCAAATCCAGTCCCTGATACATAAATAATATTGGGAATGCATAAAAGTGGTGTCAAAGGCATTTTATTATGAAGATTTTTACATAAGTACATGTATTATCATAGAAGTAAGCACTCTATGGTTTGAATTACAGGTATAAAATATTACTTTGATGTTCTTATTAGTGTAATGGGCCCCCAAAAGTTTCTTACTTACAATATTCAACATCAGATGTTCAAGCATCAGTACATAAACTTAAAAAAAAAATCATGTGTTTTTATTTACGTTGCAACACAGAAAAAAGACAATGTAAGGAAAAATGTAAGAAAACTAACTAAAAAGGCAAAAGCACACACATAAAATCCCAGAATCAATGTTCATGACGGCAGCAGTGAATCCAGCAGTGGATCATATGCGAGTCAGGAAAGACATCACATATCACATCAATGTCAGGTTCAGATGCAGCCCTGCATCAGCTTCAGCAGAGTCGCTACTACCATTAGAGGGCAAGCATCCTAGAAGTGAGGCTGTAGAATTTATAAACTTCACAGATCCATTATTTTGGAAAAGATTTTTGCATATGGGGTGAGATTTTTTTTTCAGATGATTTCTAAGACTCATTTTCACTTGAGATTCAATTTGTTTTTGGAATTATGATTTTACTGTGGATGCATAAATTATTCAAAAGGATATGCTAGAACATGTGCATATGTATAGACATGTATATGGGCTGTATATACACATAGCATATATTACATATACACAAGTAAATATAAATACAAACATATTTTAGGATCATCTATCACTGGAAAGATTTTCATGACGAATTCAGTTATCAGCATCGATAAATCAGAGAATATCTCACTTGTAATTTCCAATCTTGCTTTATATTCTTAACACAATTTAGGAGATACAGGGCTCTTCTTCTTAAACTGTATTTTCCCAATTTCAAAGTAAAACTCAACCAATTCTTTAGAAAAATATATCAAGTTCAGCTTCTCAACATTGAAATATCCAGACCAGTAAAACCACCTCAACATACTATATCCTGTATTCCCCTAACTGACTGCTTCATAACAATTATTTCTAGGAATATTTGAATGCATTGTTTAGGGGGCAATTCTCTACAGAATTTCTACACATCTTCTGACAGATTCTGTTCCCCATTATCTTTTCAAACAGGCTTCAAAGTAGAAATGGAACTTCCCTCCAGGGAAAATGAAAGACTAGTTTCCTGACCAGGATAATAAAGTGAATGTTTCTCTCTAGACAAAGGCTGAAAAGTTTGCTAACACACCTACTAAAATTTTCCTGTTTGCTAAGCTTGAGGTTCATCAGGCATAACACACACTCACTGTGTGTGCAGCATCTATCTGGGATGCTATGTACCACCCCCTGTGGGACTTATGGGGGCAAAGCAATTGCTGGAAACATGACGGCCATGCTATATGCTATGATGTGGCTAGTAGAGTCCTTTGTCTCTGAACCATGAGTCTCATGTCTTCTGGCAGCATCTAGGAAACAGTGACATGCTAACTTGCTATCTGACAAGTGAGGTAAAATCTCAGACCCTTTACAGTTTTGACACCAACACAAGATAATCTATTTTGTGATAGTGAATACGATAAATGGCTTTTCTAAGAATTGTCAGAATCTGTAATGTTTTTAGCAGCAAATGTAATAACGTCAATTGTTCTTGGAAAGAAAAAGTCATTCTCTCAGGCACATCTTACAGTGTTTCATGACAAAACCTTTCCTGGTATCTTTTAAAATATTTCTCCCTCCTTTGATCCTCTATGTTGTTCTTCTTACTGTCTCTACTTAGGATTATATTATGATTTGTGTACTTAACTTTAGCTTTCCTATTAATCTGTAAGTTAGAGAGAGCAAGGCAATGTCTTATTTCTGTATCCCTACCAATGCACAGTCCCAACGGAGAGTAACACCTTAGTGTGGTTACTGCTTATTCAGTGTCTATTGATTGACTTGTATCAATCAATACACCTTTATCACATTCTTTGTAAAGTCCATCCACAGTAAAATTTGAGAGATAAGCTTCACTGATGTGAAACTGCTGTAAATAGTGGCAAAGCAATGAGAGAAGTAACAATATTCAGTTTAATCAGGGAGAAATTCTGTAGGATGTTAACAAAAATCTAGGCTTTGAAAGACTGGTGGGATTTCTGAAGACAGACAGAATGTCTCAACCAGATCACTTTGAAAGGATGGGAGAGATGCAGAAGATTAAATTATGAACACTTACTACCCTAAAGTCTAATACGCAGCAGCTCTCCAAAGAACCATGTCATTATAGATTTACTCAAGTTTTGTTGTTTTCATTTGGTTTTTTAACAACACTTAACAGGCTCAGGATGGCACCCAAATGTTCATTCACGTGAAAAAAAAGATGAAAGAGCAAGACCTCATGAAAATGGAGTTATTTTAAAGCCATCATGTACAACTATCCTGCCAAGATAGCAAGGGAAATTATTTTCTTCATTTGTTGTGGAAGTCAGGATGTATTCTGGTTCTGCTCCACAGTTTAGCATCAACAAAAACCCATCAAATTAAGCTATTTGTTCTGTAAAAATATTTTTAAAAGGCAGTTAAACAACAGGGTGTAATGCTATTTCCAAATTTTCTGTTCCAAAAAGGTATAAAAAGCAAAAGGTTAAATACACATCATTTCATCATAATACTCCTGTAATACAATTTAATTGTTCCAAAGCACATTTCCGGGCAATCTACTATTCTTGCATATCTCAAAGGAGAAAAATAAAATAAAATAAAAATTAAATTACAAAGCCATTTTTTCTGGACTCCCTAGTGAGTCTCATTAATTATGCTATGATTAAGGATTTAACAACT